CGCTGCCCGGGGCTGCTCCCAGGCCCCGCGGGGCCTGTGGGGAAGGAGCTGCCCAAGCAGGGCTCCCCGCATCCCCGCGTGTTTTGCCCACGGCGTGTGATTTCCCTGTAATAATAGACCTTTATATATATATATATATGCTTTTTTTGTTGATAATCGTGCGACGGAAGTGAAACTGGCCGGTGTTAATCGCGCGGAGTTCTTCCCGCAGGTGTGAACCGCCATTTCCACATGATCTGTATCCGAGATAAGTTCAGCCAGAACATCGGGAGGCAGATTTCTTCCAAAGTGATCTGGGACCATCTGAGCACCATGTATGACATGCAGGCGCTTGTGAGTATGAAGGAGTGAAGCAAACACGTGCTTGTTTCTTGTAGTTCACGAGTTGTGGTAGGCAAAATCCCCGGGCCTGACATAGCTTCTGTGTCACCAAGATTTGTGTGTCGTCCCAGTGAGTTGATGAGGTTTTCCTCATGAGGTGGGAGACAATAAAACCTGCAGTGGTTGAGTTTGGGGTTTTTTTGTCATACTGAATTCTGACAGTTAAAGTTGCCTGAATGCAGATCCAGCAATAATTTATATAAAACTTAGGTGCAAAACAAGGAGGTTATCGTGTGTTTACATAAGAATTTGCCATGGTTGGATTCTAGAAATGACCTAAAATGATCATGAGCCATGATCTCAAATATCTTTACCTCTGTAATCAGTTTGGCATCAAGAGCCTCATGGTTCTCTAGTGTTTGAAGTACCTTGGTAAGAGTTATTTAGCTATTCATTCCATGTAAAATAAAACTTCCAAATTCAAGTTTTTACCAAAGTTGTTTATAGAGCTTTATCTTTTATTTCTAAGCATGAATCTGAGATTCTTCCGTTCCCTAATATAGAGAAGAATTTTGCTCTGCCTGATGAAATGATTCAAGAAGTGAGAGAAGGTAAGATGTGACAGTAGTTGCTTATTCTTGATTGCTCCAATCTCATCTCAGAACAGGTAGTTTAACAGAAGTCCCCTCAAAAAAGCATAACATGCCAATCCAAGGATGCTCTTTCAGAGTAGTGTGTGAGGAGTGTCAGGAAAAGGAATGTTATGTAGATAACTTCATCTGACAATGTTTTGCATCAGCTGACTGATGGAAACTGTTGGGAGTGCTGCTTGTGCTGGTCGTGTTCTCCTGTCAGCCTTGGTATTAAGCACTGGAAGAGACAGGCTGGTGGGAGAGATACACCTTTGGCCAGATTCCACAGAGGATTTGTCAAATTCTTGAATATAATACAGATGTGCTTCATTTTGTAGCAAGGTGATTTTTTTAAAAAGCAGGAGCTATGGAATTGATGGGTGTTACTTAGAACTGTTATCCAAGGTAGGAGCTAGGAAGTTCAAGCATCTGACAGAGAAGTTCTTGGGATATTTTAGACTATAGCTTCTCAGTTCCTAGGCACACTAAACAGCACACTAAAAATTCAGTATAAAATCATAATATAGGTGAGACATAGTGATATGTTTGGCCTGTTTAGCATTTTACTTTCTTCCTGTTGATAATTTCAGTGGAACTTTCTGACATACGACATCATCTTGTACAGTGCTTTACATTACGCTCGTGGGATTCCAGGACTGTTAACCAAGCTTCTCTGCCAGTGTGCTGAGAAACCTTTCTAAATTACTGCTGAATATTTGCTAATTTTATGCACATATGCTGAGGCTACTAATCCAGAAAAAAATACATGCAGTTCTTTAAAACCATCCGATTGTTGCTTAACAATCCTTTCTGTAGGAAAAGTAATGATAGAAGAAGAAGTGAAAGAGGAAATAAAAGAAGAGATGGAAACACATGCAGGTCCAGAAGAAGGTAAATTTGTAACTCTCTACTGTGTAATATGAGATTAAAAGACAAGTGTAACTCTCAAAAATTATTGTTAAAATGTAAATCCCAAATATGGTGTCATTTGTGATTTGTGTTCACACTCTGAATATGCTCATGCCAAGGACTAGAGTAATTTAAGAATGCACAGAATAAGTAGTTGAAAGATTTCTCCTTTACCCCTAATTCATATGTACAAAGTTGTGTGGCTTTGGAGTGTTTTAGTTTTCAAATGTACTTGACACAACCCTGGGAGTCTGATGGAATCCAGGGATCTCTGAGAGAAAACTGAGCCCAGTTTTAATGAACCAAAATACTCTGTGTTAGGATCTTTGTAGCCCTGGGGGAGAATAGGGCCTATAAATCAAAAAAAGATGGTAAGATTGTATGCATGAATGGGAAGGTGGGCAGAGTGGGGATTTGATTTTATTTGCATTATCTTGCTTCTTTTAAGTGTAACTTATTTTTCTAACACTTTGCTGTAGCACAAAGTCAAATGTAAACAGTAAAGATCCTCTTATTATTTACCTTAACAGACCAAGCCATGTGTTAACTATATAATTTCTTAATATTTCTATCCTGGTGTAAGTGATGTTTTAGGATTGAGTGTAATAAAATATTTATTTTAAGTAGATATATTAAATTCCACATTTTGGTGTCCAGTTATAAAATCTCTCTATAAAACCAAATGTAATGACTGTTGTTAATTACAGATTTCCTAGATTGGTCTGTAAGTGTTCCTGTGAAGTATTTAAACCTAAGTGCTGTTTCATTCCACTTCCTGAGTTTCATCCTTAGCCTGTCAAGATATATGCCTGTTTTGAAAGGAAATAATAAAAGCAAGATGTGCCTTTCTTAAGATTTTTTCCCTTAAAAGTGAAAGCAATACTTAAATATGCTGAGAATTGATTGGCTTGGAAAGTTTTCTGCAGCATAAAGAAATTTGATTTCACTTCTTGTTTGCCTGTGTGTATCACTCTGATCTGGAATCATTACTTTGATCCTGTTTCAGTTTTTGCACCCTCTGGAAGTTTAGGAAAAGGAACTGAAAAGCCAAGTAGCAAAGAGAGAGAGAAAACTTCATCCGAGTCTGGCTCCAAGGAAGGATCTGATAAGAGGAAACGTAACAGAGTCACCGAGAAGGTGCTGAACGCCAACAGCAACCCTTCCAGCCCCAGCGCCGCCAAGAGACGGAGGACGTGAACAGGCTGGGAGAGAGAAGCAGCTGTGGAACAGGAGGAGGGGACATGAAAACCGGGTAGCACAATCGTTGCTACATCAACCTTTTGAGAAAGGAAAAGATACCTGAGCCAGGAGTTTGAAGAATCTACATCTGGGTTTTATAGATGCGAGACTTGGTCTTTCCTCCTGTGTTTTCTAGTCAGCACCCAGCAGGGGCTGCCTCCTCAGGGCACGGCGCGGGGGTTGAGTTTGATGTCTGTGACAGTTCTGGGGGTTGCATTTCAAACAACATGCCCTATGTTGGCATAGTTCATGGGACAAGTGCTGAGTGAAACACAGAGCCTCAGGCCATGAAAAGCATAGGTTCTATACATTTTGGGTTGTTTTTTCTGCCTTTGTTGCTGTCCTTGAGCGTTGCAGCCCCTCTGTGGGCAATGCTGTTTGGCTGGTTTACTTGCTGCTGACCTAGTGTTGGCATCAAATACCTGAATTCATTGGTTCAGTAAAACTAAAATTCTCTTCAATACAGATAACTCCTGAGTTAGAGTATTCTTTCACTCTGTTTGCTGGAGGAGCCTTTCCAGCTTTCTCCCCTACTGATGGAACGTTGTTCAGTCTTTATAGGTTTATTTGCCATAGTAAGTGAAAATTGCTAAAGCCCCTGGAATAATATCTATTAATTACCCTACTGATGGAACGTTGTTCAGTCTTTATAGGTTTATTTGCCATAGTGAAGTGAAAATGCTAAAGCCCCTGGAATAATATCTATTAATTATCCCAAATAAAACATCCAGTGATGTCCCATGGTTTTGTAAGGGATCAGCTGAGCTATCTGAGCTATATATGAGCCTGGAGATGTTAGTTCATTTTTATACAGTAGTGGGTTTTGTACTTCATTATTTATTTTTTTTAAGCAGTTTTAGTAGATGTTGATGGAATTGTTACTCCAAAATGTTCATGTTCTACAACTGAAGAGTCTTACTGACATGGTAATGCTTTTCTTTTATACACTAGAATATTAAGGTTTTATGAAGTTAAGTATTTTGATGTTGTGAAAAGATGGACCACAATCAACAGACATATTAAGTGGTGAACAAAGCAGGCTAAACAGTTACCCAATTTATTTCACCATATTAATTATCAGTTCATAGAAAGAATTACTTCTTAGCCTTTCAGTGTTGCCTTCAAAAGTGAGGAACTAGAAATCTAGTTTTCATTTGTTTTCATTCTGGGTATATAGCCAAGTTCTTGTCTGCATTTTTTGCTTCACTTGTTTTATACCAAGAATAAATTTGACTTGTCTTTATTTTACTATATTGTTACTCATTGTTGTGTAACTTGATTAAAATTTGGCCCAGCTTATTCTGAAAGCTGTTCAGGTATCTTGTCCCTTTAATGAAACTGGTCTAAAGTGCCTACCTGGTTTTTTGTTTGGTTTTTTTTTACTAATGTTGGCTCTTAAGAACTACTACCCTATTGTTTCTGGAAGTTATTTGTCAGAAATTCCTGGCCTGCTGAAGTCCATAGAGGACTTTCTTAAGGAAGCAACGAATCTTTTAAGTTCTGGTTATGTTTTTATCCATACATATGTTTTTCTCCATAAAGTGCAGACTTTGTAACTTTCATGGTCTTGTGGGTAAAGTCTTTTCATCCAAGAGATTCTAGTTTGTTTGTTTTGGTTTTTTTTTTCTATACCTATGAAATGTTTCTTAGAGTAGAAATGCATCAACATTACATGTCCTGCTGCTCTCTCTCAACACCATCCTTGAAGCAGGGAGAGTCCACTTGGATTTTGTGGTCAATCCAGCGACACTGATGTTTTAGGAGTTGGTTGGGAAGTTCAGGTACATAAACATAAATGGAAATACGGAAAACATAAAATGCTTTAAACGACCCGAGTGTTTGCAGCTCCTTTCTTCCCTCCCCTTTCACCCGGTCCTGGCTCCTTTTCCCGCAGGAGGAATATTTCCTCATCCACGGCAGGAATACCTTTTTTAACGTGCAGAATTCCCAAGCCTCGCTTGAAGCGGAGGGAAGATCCTGCTGCTCCGGTGCCTTGTTCCCAACAGCCACCAGCTTGTGTGGGTGCCGGGCGGGGGGCGGGCACAGGACCGGGGGGC